AGGTCAAAAATCAGACGTCCTGAGTTAAGGCATAGCCTGCTAATCTCCACAATCTGTAAGTCGCGATTCGAAATATAAAAATTCCCGTGGAGCCTATCGCTTGACAATCTGGCCTGATCACAGCACGCTACAGAGCTGTGAGCCGCAGTGTAGAGATCTCACAAGCGACCAGCTGCCACCATAAGATCGGGTCACTAGTCCACCGTTGCTTTCACCTAAAGGTAGCATTAGTGATTCTCAGAGCAAGCTCCCTAACGTGTGTTTCGCGGACTAATTCTTTGCTAAATCACGAAATTCGCAAGAAAACCTCCGTTAGGCACAGGTCGCTGGCTCCGCATATCCACGAAAATTATACCATGACAAAGAAAAAGGCAAAGTTTGCTATGTCAGGTAGGATCTTGTAGTTATGAAATAAAATATTTTATTGAAAACCATCAAATAAAACTAGCACGTTATGACCAATCAATTATTCAAGGCCTAAAATAAATTATAGCAAACGATGAAAGTATAATCCAAACAAAACACAGTTAAGGACTTTAATATGTACAACCTACTAGTTCTTCGTTTATTTTCCTTTGGCATTTACAGTCGCTGTAATGCAGACTGACATAGAAATAACCCAGTTTGCTACGGTCAACTGGTTTACGAAATCATTAAGCATTAAATCCAATTTTTTCCTGCTTAAAATAATGTTTACTGGGCTGGTGTCGATTTCTTAGCAATAATGCGAAGAAATTTTCTCTAAGACCGAGGCTCCGATTGTCGATTTTATCAAAAAATATCGTTCCTCCGTTTCTGGTAAAAAAAGAACTTCAATACTTGCAGAAAAATAATCTTTAACGTCTCATTCGTTTTTTAATTTGCGAAAAATCGCGCTTTCTTCTACTTGCATTCAGCTGATATTCATAGCTGTAAGATCAGAGTTTCTGGTCAGAGGAGTTACTGATTTATTTATTAATGCACGAAAAACAAACGGTCCTGATCTGTGGTAGAAAAAATGTCATTAAAATTACTTGGATAGCTGAGAACGTGCGATTTCCTCCAAATACAGCCCCCTTCCCCTTCAATAAAACAGCTTTGAGATGTTGCCTTCTCTAATAAATGGCTTGTGGACCTGAAATAATTTCCAGAAATCAAAACTAACAGCAGCAAATACATATTCCTAGCTACATACTGAACTTTAATTGTGCGTATGTAATTGAAAAACGTGTTAGAGGTTATGTCGATCACGTCTTTAGATACAGGTGACGGGTAACTATCTAAATATAACATAACTGACAGAGAAACAACCAAGATTTGCCCCAATTTTAGTTAATTAATGCGGCGCGACCACCCTACCGCTCCGACCTCTGGTGTGATAAATGAAGTTTTCCACCGTTTTTTTTTCGAAAGACGTCATCAATTTGCAAGAAATACCTTTTACAGTTTAGTTCGTTTTTGACTTCGCGAAAATATGAGCTAATTCTCATACCTGCCTTTATTGGAATTGCATTGCCGTAAGATTAGATTTTCTGGTTCCAGGTGGGATTTTTTTGAAACTTTTCTCGTTTGTATAACGGAGTGTTCTATAGCCCAACGCGCGCAAACAATAGGGTTTGATCTGTGACATTAAATAACCTGGGAAAGTACATACTACCCGGAAATGTCCCATATTTTCCGCGTTCAACCGGTCTTCCTTCAAACAAACAACGTTGACCTGCATTCGTCTTTAATGAAAAGGCTTTCTGAGCCTAAATTTAACTCAAATAACAAAACTAACAACAACAAATGTGTGCCAACCATCATACTCAGATTTCGACCACGACCTTTCACTAGTAAGTCACTTAATGCAGGTATTTAATTAATGACTGAGTCGGAGATTATTATGATCGTTACCTGGTATGCTAATACAGAGATGGCGAGGAGCTATTTTCAGCAGCATCTAAGTGAACAGGTTTCAATCGAGACTGCGACAAAAACTAAGTAAAGAAGTTGGTTGCCAAGTGACTTCATTTGACCGCAAAATTGGAATAAGGGGGGAGGTCTTTCGGAGGAAGGAAAGAAGGCATTTCTACCTGCCCCCAATAGATTCCCCCCTTATTTGTCTTTGGTCGCTAGGTGTGTGCCTGTAATGTCTAAAGCCTGAGCTCCGGCACACGCAGGTCTGCGATAGTTCTTCGCGCAACCGGATCAGATTGGCGAACCTCGCTCTCATATGCTTTTGAATACGCATGAGCGTAGGCGATAGCTTGGCGTCGTGGTTCAAATGACAAATCGTTGGGCGTCAGTGGCGTGAACTAGGCTTCAAATCCCCAGGGTTTGTTATATGTGATTGTGTTGTCCGGAGCTCAACTAACGACAAAAATAAGGTCCGGTCTCTCGATCATTGATTACTTGTCATAAAAGTGCACTCTCGGGGAGCCGAGGTCGGCACTTCAAAGCAAAACAGTGAACACACGATCATACAATCAAGACAGATCAAAACACCAAAATATGCCCCAAGAATGTCCAATTTCAGGCCCTTGGCATGTCTTCTGCTTTTTCTGGGTGCTTTTACAAAAGTTTTTGTTTTATATTTATAGCTATAAGTCCAAGTAGTCTGCAACTTCCCTTTACCATTTTACTTAATAGGGGGATTCCTATTTTGAAGAGTGCACGTCCTAGCCAAAACTCCCCTCGTAATAGACGTATAGGTTCATACGCTAAAACAATAACTAATAAATTTGTTCCGATGGTCCTTACACCAACATTTGGCAGGACTGAAGGTCCTCCTGATTTAACTGGGATATAGTGGTATTTTACGTGGCAAGCCAGCACAGTCGCACTGCAAACTAAAGGTTAAACTACCGCCACTTCAACCAATCATAAGTGTGTATGGAGCGTTCTTAGAGCTGATTGGTGCTGACGGTGGTGATTGATCGTGAAGCCAGGTATGGGAAAGTGGAAGGCGCTTGAACATCAAACTATAGATACAACAGAATAAAATAGACTGTTAGAATCAGAAAACGGCATTGTAGAGAAAATGGAGACTGAAGAGTGATGAACGGATCGCACTCCTAAGCAGAATGCTGCTATTTTATTGACCGAGATTCGAGACAATAGCATTCTTATGACGATTTTTATTTCCCTCTACTTGCTCTACATTCCTAGGTTAACCGACGGAGCTTGCTATATTTTAATTTTTGCAACTGAAGGGGAAAGACTTGGAAGTTCTGGATGATTTCAGAAAAAAATTATATACATGGAGGCGCTGGGCGTAACAGTGTTAGGATAAATTATCTGTAAAGCCTCAGGGCGCTTGAATTTGTTGATTTTTGAAATCCATATCCTGACCGCATTGTAGGCTACTGACCTATCTACAGTGGATTCCATATTCCATTAAATATCGACCAAATTCTGACGCCTGTGTTCAAATGGAAAAAAAGTAACTTCAGAAGAAATTTAAGCAAGAGTCCTCAAGGTGTTTAAGTTGCTTCGGAATTCCGGCATTTGAAAGAGCTTGTTTGTGATTCCCTGTAAAAAGTATACCTTTTAAAACGTGGCCACTTAAGTAGTATGCACTATTCTCGTTTATTTTTACCGCCCTGATAAATAAAAACACTGTTTTAATGCACAAAAGGTGCTTTCTTGGACTCCTTTGGTAGCTTATTACAGCTTCTTC